AAGGTCAATCCATAAACACCGCAACAATGGCTCAAATCGAAAAGGTCCTCACCACCGCCGCCCCGGCCCCCCTCCCCCAATTCTCCCAGGCCATCAAGTACAACGGCATGGTCTACTGCTCCGGCAACATTGGCATCCTGCCCGACAAGCCCGGCATGGTCCAGGCCGAGGGAACCGTCAAGGACCGCACTGTACGTCTTATCTCCCCCCAATCTCATCATAATCCCTCATCTTGAGAGCAACGGTCGAATCAAAGCTGACACCCAATCCAGCGCCAAGCCCTCAAGAACCTCTCAGCCGTCCTCGCGGCGTCAGGCAGCAGCCTTCGCAACGCCGTCAAGGTCAATGTCTACATCACCAAGATGGCCGACTTTGCGACCATGAACGAGGCGTACGACGAGTTCTTCACCTTTGACCCCAAGCCTGTGAGTCGTCGTCCCCATTTTCGATCCCGGGTGAGCATTTTTGACATCGAAAAAGGCCCGCACCTGCGTTGCCGTCTACCAGCTTCCCCTCGGCACTGATGTTGAGATTGAGTGCACAGCATTCCTCAACAAGCCTGCTGAGAAGCTATAAGAATTTTGTGAATTGCCTAAAGATACCTGGCGGGAAAAAAGACGTTTGACATGAGTTATGAGATGGTTTCTTGTCTTTGTTGAGCTGAGCTGAGGCCACCGTTATGGCAATCGTAAAAAAAATACATCTTCGTGCTACCACATCATCGGCTTTCAACCGCGATATTCCTGGCAGCCAGTCAAGGTGAAGAGAGCACGGTACTTTGATGGTAAATCGAGGGCTACAAAAGCCCCGCACTGCTTGAATCTATAATCACTTTCCGCCCGTAGTCTTTGTAGTCCGAACGCCTGTTTTAAACATACAGAGCCCCACCCGTCATGTCTTCGTCAAACTCCACAATGCGCTCCTTTTCAGTTTCACCGTCGGTACTTAGCCAGCTGGGCCATAATGTTCTCAACCTGCGCGGCCTGATCGCCGCCCGCGGGTGCAGAAGGGGGATGACCGTTGGTATGGCCGTTTGCGGCACCGTTGACGGCGTAAGCCTGGCCGCCGTACGAAGCAGGCTGAGGCGCGGGTGCAGGTGCTGCTTGAAGGCCACCAAGCATTGCCTGAATCTGCGCGGCCGCAGGTCCGCCATTTGCACCTCCTTGCGCGCCAAAATGCGCCAGCAGCTGCTGCAGAGTGGTGTTGTCGACGCCGCTCATGATGCTTGCAATGTCGGCCTGGTTAACGGCTGGGGCCTGAGGAACAGCTTGAGGCGGGAGGCGCTGTCCCTGGGGAGGGTAGGCGGGCGCATGGGCAGGAGGCTGGCCTCCGTAAGGTTGACCACCGTAGCCCGGGTAGGGCTGCTGAGGGGGAGGCTGGTATGGCGGGGCTGCACTGGCCTTTTGCCTGAGGACGAGCTCTGCCGCGATTTTGGGCTCAATGTTGTCATAGTCTTCGAACATGGCTTGGCCACCAGGGGCTTGCTTGAAAACTCTTAAGGGAATCCTTCCGTAATTATGAGCCTGCATGTCGAGATCGACGACGCCGTGCACACCCTCCGCAGCCAGTCGTGAGATGAGCGCCTCGCGAGGGAATCTGGGGTTGAAGAACATGACAGCAACCTTGAGGCCCTTTTCGGTGAAGGGGTGCTGAACCCATGCGACGAATTCGTTGGCAAGCTCTTGGAGAAGAAGGATTTGGACGTCCGGAACGTCATTGCCGTAGCGGCGAGGGAGGTCAAGCTCTGCACCAGGCCGTTCATACGCCTTGGGCGGGCTGGGCTCGCGCCAGCGGTAATTGTCGTTGCGGCCGTGGCTCTGGGGGGATCTGGAGCGGCCTCGAGAACGGTCGTCGTAGTAGCGGTCCCGGCCGTGACTATCTCTGCCGTAGCTGTCGCCTCTAGCGTGGCCGTTCCGGCGAGGAGATGCGTTGCGACCAGGTCTGTAGTCGTCCCGGCGTCGGTCGTTGTGGCCTCCCTCATGCCGGTCTTGACGGCCTGATTGCCGACCACCACGGCCGCCGCGGTCGGGTGAACGATTGCGCTCATTGCCGCCCTTGCTCTTTTGTACTTTCGAATACTCAAGGTCTGATGGATAAAGGTTAGCTCTGCCTCATGCCCAATCCGCCCGGAAACACTTACGAATCTTGCGACCCTTGATTTCGATGCCCTGAAGGTTGTTCATAGCAGCTTGGGCATCCTCCAGGTTGTGATACTGGACGAAGCCATAGGCACTCTTGAGGGAGATCTGGGCGAGCTGGCCGTATTTGCAAAAGATTTCAAATACGTCGCGTTTGGAGACACGTTCGCTCGACAGATTGCCTGAAAAGAAGTCAATGGCGCCGTCAGGTCGGCCTGATGAGAGAGAGCGCGAACCAATAAAGATGCGTGAGCCATCTGGAAACTTATCCCACTTGGCCTCCGCCATGTAGGAGCGCTCGACCTCGAGGAACTGGTCATAGTGCGACTTGCGGTCATTAGTGTCAGAGTGATTGGAGTACGGCGGCGCAGTCATTTGGATGGGCGTGGTGCCGGGTGCACCCGCGGCTACGTACGGAGCGGCCGTACTGGATGGATGGGGGTTCTGATTGGAGTAGATGACAGATGCCTGGGTGGGCATTGGAGGTCTTGGAGGAAGGGTGGCGGCAGCGGCGGACGATGACAAGCTGGAGGCGGGTTGGGCTTCATGGTTCTGAGCAGTGGCAGAGGCATTGGCGGAGCCAGCCGGGCTTTGATCGTTGGCATCGCTGGCCTGGCCGGTCATCTCAGTGAGCAGTTGAGAGATCTCAATGGCGGGGTCATCCTCGACGTGGGCATCGCGCGAGGTGGCGGTAGCTGATGGGCTTGATTGCTGGGCGACGGCAGGGCGGGCCGAGGACGGATCAGCGACGGGCGGAGAAACCACTTGATGGGTTGTCAAGGAATCAGACGCGGCGGAATTGTGCATGGATTCTGGTGCCTTTGATACATCATCCTGTTCAGCGCCTTCCTCGACCTGAGAGTCGAGGTACTTGAGGTATTCATCCTCGGCATCTTGCTCCACTTGTTGCTCCTGCACCTTGTCCGCGCTCGTCTCTTCTTCCTCTCCATAGGCGTTGAGGCTGTCGTCGTCGTCGTCGTCCTGGTCGTTGGCGTTGGCGTCGGCAGCAGCGTCATGGCTGGCGGTGCCGTTTGTGATTTCAGCCGCAGCCTTGTACCCGGGAGCGACTGCGTTCAGGCCGCCTTGAGCGATTGCGTTAGTTTGGGTGGACATTGCATCGAGGATGTCAGCAGTATCCTGGAGGACAGGCACAACGGCGGGAGCGGCGGAGTGCAGAGGGGATGGAGAAAGAGGCGAGAGGTCGGCGGCAGTAGCCTGGAACTCCGGAATGGCTTCTGGCTCGGGCATCAAGTTGCTGGCGGTCGCGTGCGGGAGTGACGATGGGCGGCTCGACAGCTGTGTGCTCGCTGGGCCCGGTGGACGAGGCTGGCGGAATTGGCAAAGCTCAGAGTCCGGGAGTCCGGAGGGGTGGGAGATGGAAGTTGGAGTGAATCAGAAGATGGGCTTTAAGTCAAAAAAATAATTGACGACAAGGCGACCGGACGCCTCGTTTTCTCTGATTTTAGTCGAGCCGCGGCTGTGTCGTCATGTGCGCAAGGCAGGCAAGCACGGTTGATTGATTGGTTTGGGGGGTTTCCAGAGGGGGAATGGAAACGAAGGCGGGGGAGCAGCAGGCGGAAATAGAAGAAGAGATTGCAGACACGGGGTAGTCTCCGATGAGCGGACGAAAGAAAAAGAGCTATCGGCAGCTCTCCCAAGGATGGCAGGCAATTTACCAAATTTCTTCGAAAAGCTTAGTGTCCAGGGCGGAAAGGGTAGATAGATTGTCGGTCAGGCTGGGAGATGAGTGTAGAGAAGAATAGAGTAGAGGGAGAAGACCGTTGGCGTTGGGCCTTGAGAACCGTGGGCACCGAGAGGTTCGGAAAGAGGTAGCCGCAGGTTGTATGTAGCTTGGAAAAAGACCCAACGGGTGTTGCGGTGGTGGGAAAAAAGGTTAAGCAGAATTAAGGTACGAGGCCGCGTGGGAAAAAAATCTGAAGAAGTCGGTAGGTGGGCTGGGCTGGGCTGCCTACCAGTGATAGGTGCAGGGCATGGTAAGGTGGGTGGCAGGCAGCGGAGCGGAGGCAGGCAGGCAGCCCAAGCTCTTTCCCGTTTCCCGCGCACCAGGTCGCTCCCGTCTGCCACTGCAAGTGCAACCACAAGGCTGCTTGTGCTTGTGCCTGCTTGCCCTCGGGTTGGGCCTGGCCTGGCCGATCTGTCGCTGCAGAGTCGACCAATGTCACCTCAGGAAAACGGTTCAGAACCACAAACGGCGCTAACTGTATGTGGTAGGCGGATGCCACTATTCCCGAACGAGAGGCCGTGTGTGGTACGGTGCAAGATGACGAAACGCACCGCTCAGCTCTCGCTCATCACCAAGCTCCACCAACATTGCATGATTGTCAATGAAAACCAGCAGGACGGCATTCATCACTCTTTTTGGCACTTCTGTTTGCCTGTGATTGGTCAACCGGCTCTTCACTGCCATACACAGCATATTGGATAGAAGCGGCCTGCTTGCCCAATTAGCCCTTGGTGTCTGTGAAAACTTCGACTTTGCAAACATCATGACGACAATAGCCAGCCTCATCCAGTCCACACGGCCCTCAGTCTTCAGACCTCTTTTCCAGCCCATACATGCCATCCGTTGGGCAAGGTTTCAGGCCTTCGAAGACTCTTTCGACCCGGAAGAACTAAAGCAGGCGAGATCATGGCACAGGACGTTTGACGGAAGCCAACTACCACGAGGCCAAACAAGTTACGCGCGTTCAAGCGGTCCTGGAGGGCAACATGTCAACAGGTAGGTTTGTTCACGCGTGCATGGGTTGCTGGGCTTGATGACAAGGCATGGGCCATTTATTAACGCCGACCAGAACTGAGAGCAAAGCAATCACTGCTTGGCCCGTCAAGGACCTCCTCCCAATGCTGCCGAAACTGCTGCATCGGGGCATCAGAGAGTCCAAGTACTACACGGCAAGGTCGGACTCCTTGACGTTCCAGGCTCAGGAGCATCGTCAAAGGACCGCCAACTCGGATGAGAACCAGCAAAAGCTCATCGACGAGGTACAAAGGATATACCGCGAAACAGTGCCAGGAGAGACGAGCAATGAAAAGAAGAAGAAACACGCAGAAATGTGGGCTGACATGTCACGTTTCACCGCATCAACTGCTGACATCCCCGCAGAGCCAAATCTTTCAACGAAGGACGGCTGAAGCAAAAGAAGTACCTGAGCTCAAAAAAGCAGAACCGTCGGGCGTCTTTCGATTAAAGTACCACCATGCGGCTCTAGCCAACAGGGAATTTGGAAGGACAGCCGCCTTGAGTCACGACACGTGCCCAAACTTTCAGTTCGCCTTGCGATGGTTGGCTGAGACACGCAAACATCCCATCATCGCGGGTGGGGTCAGGCCTAGCTAAGCTAAGGGCCAGCCAGGCGGCAAGCAAGAGGGGCCAGGCTTGGACCCTGAACTTTTGACTCAGGTTTTGGGGAGGTACAGAATCGGGATTGCCGTCTGCGAGTCTGGTTCGTGGTTCCCATGTTTAGGGAGACGGACTGCGCCGTGGGCTCACGGGAAATGAGTTGATGCTGTTGGGCTGGGGAATTGACTGATGCAAATAGGTGAACTCCATCGCGTAATGCGACAGGAGGCTCGACGAAGTTGTAAGATGTGTGTACCAGGTAAATGTAGAAAGCACGGCCATGTCTCCGATAGCTGAGAATGCCGAGAATCCTTCAGCGTCAGCGTTCAACGATAGTCGTCAACCATCGTGCCATTCATATCGACAAAAAGACATGAAGATATTCTTGCTTATGGCAAAATGATAGGACTGCTGCTGAAAGACGACAGAGAACAGACAAGGAGGTTCTTAGGGGCTGCTTCAAAACCCATGCCGGGCCAGTAGCAGCAGTGGTGGGGACCCCCGTGCTCGCGCCGGGAGTGATGTCGGGTGCCATATCTCGCTGTGACCTGGGACTCCTGGCTGGGCCCGGGCCGCTATCACCCTCAGGCGGCTGTCACCGCTCAAACTCCATCGTGGACGCGTCTCTGGTTGCGTTGGCTCGAGGAGAATAACGCGAGCGAAAGGAGGACGGTATGATAAAGGCACATGTCAGGTCTAGCGGGGGAAAGTCGGGAGATGATAAACCCCCAAGGTAGTGGCCAAAACGGCATCCAGCTGGGGACAACCAGCGACCTGTCTCACTCTCCGGGGCCAGCTGCGGGACCCCGAGTCCCTTATGTCTCCAGCTGGCACCGCTAAGCTCCCTAGTCCCACGGGATTTTTTTAGTGCTACACACGAATCCACTCGTTCGTCTGTTTCCCGTGCCGTCTAATTCAGCTCGAATCCTCCTTTTCCTCTGCTGTGCCATTTCTTCCCGCTCTCGCCATCGTTTGCTGCTGCTTTCCGTCCATCGAGTCTGCATCTGCTGCGCATCGCGTGCTGGAAGACCTCATCAGATTGATCTGCGACATAGCGTCATAGTGACAGCGCATCACCCCCTTCATCTATCTCTGGTCGCAATTATCCCTGGCTCAAAGTAGCCCCGCGAGACCCTCTGAAGGGGAAGTCAACACTGCAGTGCCGCTGCCGGGGACCGTCGATCATCAGCCCAACTGCCCAAGCAGAACGAGCACACAACTTCTCGCCTTGCCCGCCCCGTCAGCAGCTGTTTGCTTCCTGCAACCTCCAACAAACCACGACCTCGGTCTTTGAAGCACAACCTCGAAGCGAACGCTCAAAGCCTGCCCCAGCATTGCAGCTCCCCGTAAACAAAGGACCGACCGACGACCCAAAGACCGAACTACCGCTAGCTGCAGTCGAGGCGACCCCAACACCGACCGCGCTTACCCCGCCAACAATTTGATCTCGCGACCCCCGACCGACCTTTCAACCCACCACATCCCCGACAGCCCTCGACCGCAGGGCTTCCTCGCGGCCTCACCTTGCGTCTCGATACCCTACAGACAATCGCGACAATGGCTACGAACGGCTCTGACAAGCCTCAGGTCCAGCCCTGCAGGTACAAGGTCGGCAAGACGCTCGGTGCCGGCTCGTATTCCGTCGTCAAGGAGTGCGTCCACATCGACACCGGTCGCTACTATGCCGCCAAAGTCATCAACAAGCGATTGATGGCCGGCAGAGAACACATGGTTCGCCGATTCGCTGTACTCTGAGGCGTCCGACCCGACTAACATGCTCTGCAGGTCCGCAACGAGATTGCAGTCCTGAAAAAGGTCTCCATGGGCCACCAAAACATTCTCACCCTCGTCGACTACTTCGAGACGATGAACAACCTCTACCTTGTCACCGATCTGGCCCTCGGCGGTGAGCTGTTCGACCGTATTTGCCGAAAAGGCTCTTACTACGAGTCCGACGCCGCAGACCTCATCCGCGCCACCCTCTCCGCAGTTGCTTACCTCCACGACCATGGTATCGTCCACCGAGACTTGAAGCCCGAGAACCTGCTTTTCCGCACACCAGAAGATAACGCCGACCTCTTGATTGCCGATTTTGGACTGAGTCGTATTATGGATGAGGAGCAGTTCCACGTGTTGACGACGACGTGCGGTACTCCTGGCTACATGGCCCCCGAGATCTTCAAGAAGATTGGCCACGGCAAGCCTGTAGACGTCTGGGCCCTCGGCGTCATCACATACTTCCTCCTCTGTGGATACACCCCCTTCGACCGCGACAGCGATTTCGAGGAAATGCAAGCCATCCTGAACGCCGACTACAGCTTCACACCCTTCGACTACTGGCGCGGCGTCTCCGAGCACGCCAAGGACTTCATCCGCAAGTGTCTGACCATCGACCCGAAGAAGCGCATGACGGCGCACGAGGCTCTGCAGCACCCCTTCGTTGCGGGCTACCTCAACGGCGAGGGCGAGGGCCAGAACCTGCTGCCCACGGTCAAGAAGAACTTCAACGCCCGCCGGACATTGCATGCTGCCATTGACACGGTCCGCGCAATCAACAAGCTGCGCGAGGGCCAACAGAACCTTATGGATGGCGCCAAATCCCGCGAGCCCGATCGTGGGCTAAAGTCCCCACCGAACGCAAAGAAGGACGACAGTGCCATCAGCATGGGCAACACAAATCACAAGGATTCGGGCTACGGCACCCAGCCCGAGGCGGACAACCAGAACGACGTTGTCATGACAGATGCGGGACCGACACCGACCAGCGTGCCCGCAAGTCTGCGTCCAGGCAGTGAGCAGAACAAGGTCGTTGAGACAAGCAAGGGATTGTGGAGCGGTCCCGCACTGCGGCGATAGTCTCGAGGCGGAGTAGGACTACATGTGAAAGCCATTGCCCCTGATGAGGACGCCAAAATGGGCCGCTCTCAGTGGGAGTATCCAGTTCTCGATACCCGCCCAAGACTTCACCTCGGCATAGGGAATACGTGGCGGACTTTCATGCACATGCGAGGCGCCCGCGCACGGCGGCCACGGGAAGATGGAATGGCCCCGAGTTCGGCCCCTCGATTTCACGATGCTCTCTGGGCAGGGCCCCATGCCCAGAGAGCCTGATGGAGCGGGTTGAGTAAAGAGAAGGAAAACAAGATACCTTGGGTTGATGTCCGCGGACTGGCTCCGTCGTTGGACGAGGGGTGGGCGTCTCGCGGCACCCCCATTTCTTTTCGTTTTTGATGTTTGGGCGGATTCCTATAGCATATATCAACAACAGGACCCGGATGGAAAGCCCTATAATGACATGAAGAATGCAAAACTCGGTCTTGTCTGACTCACACTGTGATTGTGTAGTTGGATGTGCTGTAACGGTCGTTGTGACTCAGCGAGATTCTTCTCTGTTTGCCTGGATGCGTAAGGATGCGTTCATGCTCTTTCCCCAGACCACGAGACGACAACAGCGGCGTGGCGGCAAGCTAGGCCAAAGAGGACCTTTAGAATACGTTCACACAAAAACCGACAACTTCAGCACGCTAGCTGTCGAGAAGGAGAGTCAAGTCAATAGGGATGTATGCTGTGGCTCGTTAGTCCCCTCTTCTGGACATCCATGTGTCGAGGTTGAGTACGTTTGGGTTGGCACATCACAATACATCTACTCCCTTAGACAGGACTCTACTGACTGAGTCGAAGGGAAACTTAGTCTCTATAAGTCTACTCACTCGGTGTTGCCCCTCTGGATATGACACAAGATTCACACAAGCAGTCAGTTTTCTGACGATAATCGCGATATGACAGTACAATAGCACTTTTCATGTCGTCTCATTCGTCAAGAACGCAAGAAAATGCCACACTCATCCTTCCGGCAAGATTTTCAGGGCGTCGACAGCCCAAGGCTCCTAAGAAGCGCACCCGGCCCAGGCTCATGACCAAGGAACTTGGTCATGAATTCCATCTCCTGCTTGCTTGCCCCATACTCTAAGATCCCATGACGGTAGCGGTCCCAGGCCTCGGGATCCCGCGGGTCCTTGGCAAAGTTGGACTCGAAGAAGTCTGCCGCGAAGGCGTGGGCGCTGTAGAAGCATCGTCAGCTGCGGCTGCTTGGGGGAGTTTCAGGGGTGACTTGCCTGAGATACAAGAAGTATCCTGCATCGTAGAGGCTGATGAGATGGTTCGACTGAACGTATCCAACACTGTTCTTTTCGGGGTTCTTGGTCAGGGTGAGAGTCTCCTTGAGGTCGTTGTAAAGCTTCACCTCGTCCAACTCCCTTACTGCGTCAGTAGACTTCTGGTTGTTGACGTCCAAGTCGAACTTGGCGAACAGGCTACCACAATTAGTTCCCTACACTCACAGATTTCAGAATTCGCGACTTACATCTGCCTCAAAAACCACAGCGCACGATTCAAGCTCCGGCTCTCGACTAATCGCTCCACAGGCTTCTCGTCAATCTTCTCGGGTGGCAGCTCGGCATCATCGTGGTCCTCCTTCCACTTGGCTGCATAGGCAGGGTCAATATGGGTGTAGTGCCGGCTCATCTTGACTAGCTCATCTGGCATCCAGCACCAGTTCTCGAGCATGGTGCTGGGGGCCTCGCCAAAGTCGGGCTTGACGCGGGTGCCGTGGAAGCGGGTGTACTTCGTCCGGCAGATCAGATCGTGGAGGGCATGGCCCAGTTCTGTTTGATGTCAGAAAGCGTTCATGGGGTGGTAAATGGGTACGTGCCGTGAAAGAGTGTGACGACTTGTCGGTGTTTGAGGAGGGCGCAAGACGCTGCTGATGGTGGTTGGAAGGCGCACATGAGGATCGTGGCAGGAAACACCCTGGTTCCGTCTTCTTTAACGTAGCTCTGTAGCTTGTTAGCATTCGTCTCGATGTGATCTCGAAGTATCTTACACATTGCAAATTGACGTTGCAGTTCCCGCGATACTTGCCCTCCCTCCAGATGATATCAGCATACAGATATCCCACAAACTCGCCTTTGCTCTCCCCTCTACCCTCCCAAACGCTCCAGACTTCGATGTTCTCAGCCCAAAGCTTTCCAACCAAGTCTTCCTCCGGTACAGGCACAAACTCCAGTCCAAGGAACTGGTTGAACAGTCCCAGCATCGACGACAGGGTGTGCTGCAGGGGGAAATACTCCGATATCAACTCGTGCTCGACGTTGGCTTCTTCCTCAAGCAGTCGAGTGTAGTACTGGTAATCCCAAGGCAGAATCTCCGCCTCCTCCACGGCGAGATGGGATCTCTTCTTTGCTTCAAGCCTTTCAATCTCCCCCTTCCCTTTCGGCAACAAATCCTTGATCAACCTATTCAGAAACTCGTCAACCCACTCTGTTGACGGCGCGGTTCTCTCCCGAATTCGAAAGTCTGCGTGGTTCTTGTACCCCAACATTCTCGCATTCTCATCCCTGAGAATGATCATCTCCTTGTAAAGGGGGACATTCTCAACCAGCCTGACGTCGTATGCAGCAACCATCCTCTTCCTCGTCTCAGGGTTATTAGCGTATCGCTGGACAGCTTCATTATCCCCCCTTTCCAATGGCACAAACATCTTCCCGTCTTCTTCCTTCCACCTCGCCATCTCCTGTGCCGAAACACCCTCCAACTCATCTTTCTCAAACCACAAACCCGTCCCCTTCCCACTCAAATTGTTCTGAAAATCCCTCTTCAGCTCTTCAATTCTCTCCCGTCGGCGGAGATACGTCTTGATCTGCTCTATATCAAGCGCCCCATGGCCGGCGCGCCGAAACTGCGACCACATATCTTCTAAAATCTTTCGCTCCTCGTACCCCAGATCTTCATTCTTGTCTTTAACGGCCTGTACAAGCTTGTATACGTCCTTTCGCTTGAGGTTCTCTCCTCCAGCTGCCGACCAGAGCTCCTGCGCCTCTTGGACTGCTTCACGGGTGAGCTCGTCGGGGCCCGAGTAGCGCAGCATGGCGTAAACACTCGCCCCCCCCTGGATTGCATCGTCGACGGCTTGAATTGGCGCAATGACGTTCTGGTAGCATGCTTCGGAGAGTGAGACGGTCTTTACAAGGGTGTCGCGGATGGAGGATTGCTCTGCTATTAACCGTTTGATCAGGGGGACAATCTCGTCCGCCGACAGCATTGGCTCAAGTGGTTGAGGTGGTTTGCGAGCCATTCTGCGTTTTTCCCGTTCCCCATGTGTGTTTCAAAATCAACTAGTTCAATTGAGTAGTGACAGCTTCCAATAGTTCATTGATCATGACTATTGAGATACATTTATATCAATCCCAAGAAACAACAAAGACACCTCTCGACAGCCTCAATCAACATACTAACTCCATCAGGCAGGTCGACCGCAGCGTACCTGATCCAAAAGATAGATTGTCACCACCTGATTAACCATCCCCTGGACAATCTACCGCTCGGGAGAAAAAGCCTCATCACGCGGTCTCACAAACACCCCCCGGCCCGCATCCGCGCCGCAGACCCGCATCCCGGCGACGTAACATCACCGCCGCTCCGGAGACTTTCGTCTCCACCGCGGCCCCGATGATTGGGTCCCCCGACCGGTCACGCGCGCGTGAGACCTGCAGCGCCATGCCGTACCACCACTTCCTAAATCCCGATTCGGCAAATGCGGCGCAGGTCCTGAGTGTATGTTCCTGAATTAGTGATACACTGAGGCTCGTTGGACCGCTCAGAGGCTCAAGCTTGTGTGGGATTTGGCTCTTGCAACGTTCAGAAATGTTTGAAAGCTTGTGCCAGAGACGACACGGACGTGGCGTGGGGATTATGCGGTATTTCGAGATGCCGTTTGGGGAGTTTCTGATGGCTCGGAATGGCGATTTAAAGATCTGGCCATCTGTGCGAGACGGCAAAGGGAAGCCTATCGTGATTGGGAACATCTGCTTTGGGTAATATGGTCAGTGTCCGTGGCGGGATAGATCTCGCCTCAATGCCAGCTTCAGCTTCAGCTTCACATCGCCTCCCGTCTTCAGTTCACCCCTGCGACCCCGGATCAAGTTTTGCCTCAGGTCATCTCTTCTACCATCATGCAGTCTCAGGACCAATATCGACCAAGTCTGCCCAAGACAAAGACTCACGAAGACTTCAACCACCTCAGACAGCTTCAGAGACGAGCAAGATTGCATAAGCATTGCTCGGCATCACGAAGGCTATCTTGGCAAACCAAATCGCCTCCCTGGGCAAGCTATTCCCCGAATGACCAAAGAAGGAAATCAGCTCAGCTAAGCTCATCCCTCCCGAGCTAGAATACCCAATTCCTCGGAATTCCATCGCCAAAATCGCCATTCGCCATTCGCCCCCCTCTTCCACCCACGGAGAAGACTCCCCGGACACCCTCCCCGACCAACAACAAGGGCCGTACAGCACGCAGAGCTCCCTCAAGCTTCCAACGCCGACGGCTAGAAACATCATAGCAGTTCATGCCATCTGGCTACATGGTCACAGCTTCCCACCCCCGCGTGATCGAACTCGCCAACCACCAGTGGATTTGCCTCCCCCAGAAGGAGACTACTGTCATGCGAACAGCCTCACGCCAGGCGGGTACGGCGGGTAGACGTTCTTCATCTCAACTACAGCATTGGCGCCAAGCAGTCCAAGTAGCCAAGCGGGCCTGCTAAATGGCCAAGCTTCCCTCTCTTTAGACTCAAAGTAGAGCCCGTTCCCCAGAAAACTGCTTAAGCACGCAGAGCATTGAGCCTTACGCTTTTCCCCAGAGCTCTAATAGCTTAAACCGCCCATCATTCCACAGAGACCGTGCCATGTTTCCTGACAGGGGCAATATATAAGGAGACCAAAAGTGTGGCCATCTCTCACACCATTCGGACGTGGATGAACTCTCTCGCCTGTCTCCAGAACATCACAGAACAAAGGCAAATGTATAAATAAAACAGCAGAACAAGAAATCAAAAAGTTGCTCTGAACTTCCAGACGTTGAGTAAACCATATCTAGGCCCTGGCCAGAGGATTAAACCTCCCGCCCAAGACAGGTATGACAGCACGGGCAAAACATACTTTCTGCTGCAGAGTCATTATGCGTGCGCGCCCCCTTCACCAAGGATCTCCCACGAGGCATGTCCACAGCCAGAAGTGATCGGCGGGTGTTCAGCTCAGGTCCCCTTCCAATGAGGACAGAACGTGCCCGACCGGATGCTCCCGTTCGGGTGACTTGAAACAATTTTGTCCAATGTAGAGAGGTCGAGGAGGGGGGGCAGGTGGAAACATGGAAAGGCCATGTTGCTTTGGCTGCCAAGACTGATGAATGCCGTCCATGAACCTTCTTGACGTCGAGAACGACAGTAAGCAAAACTCCATTGCGGCGCCGAAGGCATTACGGAAAGAGCTTAGTGGTGGGATCTCGGTGCTGTGGCAGGCCACCGAGGATCTAGGCCTCCTTTGTTCGGCCGGTCTTTCCGCGAGACTAGCCCGTGATTACTACAGCAAGTCGGCTCCGTCTAACGCCGAATGCCGGCACGGGCCCGGGTGGGAGTGTGGTAAAAACTACCGACTCAGGGGGACGAACAGGCGGCTGAGTCGGAAATAAGGTATTCGCGCAACCTCGGACGAGTCCCATCTCTGGTGTTGAGGCCCGTCGAACCACACTCTGGAACGGGGCTGATCCTGTTGTGCGGTGAACCATCGTGCCCCCTCCCATCCTGGCAAGTGTCTCTCGCGCGCACGGCAGGCACATGCCAGGCGCGAGGCAGACACTACTGCGGTAGACAACCCAAATGGCCAGGAAGGGTTGTCACAGCTTCATGCGCATGGAAACCAATAAGAGCCGCTTGGGAAAGAGACACCCTAGGCGGCAGTTCGGCCACAGGAGCCACGTCGCTGTCTGGTTCATGCCACAATCAAAGGCAAAGGACCGTGAGCATGGCAAATTGTGTTTTGCATGAGAATGTCACATTTCACGAGCAACATCCCGCTTGGTTGGCCGGATGGACTCGCCATGGGAACGTGCGAGACGCATGGATGATGTGAGACGACAGCAGCGAATAGCCGGGCCATGAGAGACGGCAGGAGGGTCGCTAATCACTGGGCTGAGATGGCGACTCGTGAGTGTAAGCTTATTCTCGCCGACCGCGAGGGACTGAATCTCTCTCGTGGGCAGACCATCCATGGTACCTACAGGATACCTATAGCGGCTGCGGTATCACGGAGTTGCTGGCGGGTCTTGGCACCCGGATCACTCGGAGGTTGTGCGCGACGGCGGCTGCGCGTGTTTTCACACTCTTTTTTGTTGATCCATCATCCAAAACAGGGCTGCCCAAGCTCGCAGCCGAAGAGGAGGCTCCAGTCGATGGCGGACCCGAGGGCCCGGTGAAAAAAAATTGGAAGGATTCCAGCAAAAAGGAGAGGCTCATTTCGGGGAGCCTCGCCAACCCAGGTCCCGCTCCCAAGGTTCCGAGGTGGAAAATGGGGCACTTCGGGAGGAGAGGGAGTGGAAAATGTCCGCTCAACAAGGCATGTCGGACTCGTTCCATCAAATCTTAGTTTTGCAGGCTCACAATCTCGATTGCAGCCGCAAACGCTCTGGGCGAAGTGGATGCTGAAGTGCAATACCACAGGGGGGAGATTTCTCGAGTGCTCAATCAGTCTTCCATCTCGTGTACTGCCGGGTTGGCACGTTGGCTCAGATCAGCGGGGACCAACGCACACCCGACGCACGACACTGGCTGAGGTTGCTGCAAACACTTCCGCCGAGGCCCCTGTCACCTTCACGTTACGCGAGTACGCGCGAGCGTGACCGGCTGCCATGTTCGATGTGTGTATTCTGTAATGTGCAGCAAAACGGTGTCAAACTGCCAAGCCCGCCAAGTGCGCTGGACCTTCGCAATGACGATGAGTACTACCGGCCTTTCTCAGTTGGATCTGCACAGACAACTGCTGTATTTGGGTTGAGCGGTGAGACAAGATGATACGGTGACGGGCAGGGCCTGCAGGCCATGTGAGTGTATTGGAGGTGAGCTGTTGGTTAGTGCGAATGAGCTCTCGATCAATCGCAAGAATGGTGATGATGGCAACGATTGCAACAGGCGGGTGGTCGCCTGTCCTGTCTATCGGCGACCACGGACATTGACGATGTCTCTAGTCAAGACGCTTCATTGATCTTCGCTGCGAGTGAAGACTTTAAAAATGTCATGCCTGCCGAAGCCCTCAACGGGTATTTCGTCTTGTTCAATGGTCGCCGTCCTGTCGATGGGTGATCCATGATGGTGACTCTTTCCAGACTTGCGGCAGGGAACAACAGCCCATGTGTCAGACGTTGGCGGGTTGTGAGTGGCTGCTAGCCGGCGACTACCAATGGCGCGCGCGGCGAAGAGGTGTCGAGAGGAAATCCCTAATTTGTGTGGCTCGCAACAATGCCAAGACCAGAAGGCCAGGGAGAGCGTCCTTTCGGTCCATGTGGCGCACAGCAAGTCGTCGGGCTCGGCATGGTCAAAGTCCGCAATACCGCTCGACTGTCTGCTCACAAATCACACGGCGTTGCTTCTGCGAGCGCTGCTGCATCCGCCCGCCGGTCGTCTGACTTGCTGTGTAAGCAGGTAATATAGGTAATCAATCCTCAACTCCGACGAGCGAATGTATCCGTCGCACGCATGACCGAGATGGTAACCATCGCAACCACATCCCACATGCTTATCTGATGTTCTCCGCGCACCGAGTCGGGCTAGGCGCGGCCCAAGCTCGACGATTCGCATCTTGCAGCGAGGGGCAGTCAGTCAGTCTCTGTTTCGCATTCGGTGTGTGCCGCGGATGTACTGAGTGCAACGGCGTCTTTTCGATTGGCGGGCATGCAATTTAGCGGGGGAGAGACGACCCCTAAGCAGGGGTCGTTTGGGGGGTTGGCGCGGGATGCCAAAAGTGATGCGAGAAGGATGCGATATCATGAGAGTTTTGGAATCTGATTCTGTCGCGGTATGAAGGGGTAACATTGGCGATGAAGACGTTGGAGGGGTTTCCTCAATTTAGTCTAGATGCTGCTGCCCTTCTGTCGTGGTCGCAGGACCTCAGGCGCAGAGTGTTTCGCTGCAGTCAACCCTCGTTGTTGCATGTGCAGTGCACCGGCCGCATTCCCATCAACCGTCAACGTGATGGTGCCTATCGTCCCATCAATTGACGACCGTGTCGTCCGTGTACCCGTCTCGTCTGTCGGTCGGCTTTGAGACCACCACGGTCGAGAATATCGCACCTTATTGGGTGGTGACGAGCATATAATTGCGTATCCGCGTATCTGCACCTCGCGTATACGCACAAAGCGAGATTGAGCTTGTCGCCCGGCGGGAGATGGGCGAAGAGTCGGCCAACGGTAAAACGGAGCAGGCTTCTTGGCCGACACCGACAAGAGCGGACAGCGGCGTCCAGACGTTCGTGGTTGGGCGGAGGGCGGTCGCGCGGGAAACAACTGGACCCCGGGATTAAGCGAAAAAACAATTTTTCCCTCCGCAAGCGGACAAGCGGGCCAGGAAGAAAGAAGAAAAAAAAAAAGGCCTGAAAATTAGGTGGAAAATTTATGACGACAGTGGGGAACCAAACATGCGATGGATGGATTGGGTCGATGGTCGACCTCGGGCGAGGTTGGGAGCCTGCGCCTGGGTCCAGGAACATCGTCCGCCAGGTGGGTGGAGACGCGAAAAAAAAAGAAGATGAAGTCAACCGGCAGCTCGTAGTGGGGCTGGAAGGGCTCGCCCGAGGTGGTCGAGGTACCGGTACTTCAGACGCCGAGCGATCCGAGTTTAGGGCCCTGCAGCAGCCACCCAGCTACGGGAACACAGCTGGAGCGAGCTGGCTGCAGTGGGCAACTAAATCGCCAGCGGCCAGTGGCTTGCCTCGCTTTTGCTCGCATTCGCCGGCTAACGAGTATTTTGGTGGGCGAACACGCGGACACTTGCGGCGGGCTGCGACTGGTCTGTCCCCTGGTGGGCGCTAAGACAAAGAGTCGTCGTCACCGCAGTCCCAATCATTTCGCATACGGCGTATCCAGTTCGACTGCCAGTTGGCTCCCTCTAATCCATCTTTGCACGAATACACGTACCGCGCTGCAGGAGAGTCTGGGGGTCCCGCCGGCTGACCGCTGCAAACTGCAACACGCAAGGCGGTAAAGATAGGCTGTGGCGCTTGTTGTTGTTGATAGACTTGACAGACGTTATTGCATCATGACCTGTAGTTGAGATGGCATTCTCTGTCGCGCTTGTTGAATCATCAAGGGTGATGCCACCTCACAGAGCCTCGATGATGCCGGCAAGCCGCGTGAAAGGGGCTAGCAACAACAAAAGAGTGTTTTTCTGCCCCCCCTGGCCCACCTTTCAAGCCGTGCTGACTGTCGGTCGGACCGGAGTCCAGGAGCCGTCCGCACTTGAGCCTCGGTGCCGGTGACGGCGGACGATCGATTAGATAAGTGTACCGGCACTGCAGCACTGGCCTTCACGCTGGCGTCGGCGTTGGCTCTTGCTTGGAAGTGTGCTTCTAGGGCGGTTGGGTCTGAAGCCATTGCAAGCCACTGACTTCAAGCCCCATTTTGACAGCGACGCTCTGTAACGCCTCTCGTCAGGCCACCCAAGGGCACATCGCAACGGGCTGCCCGACCATCCGCATCGTACAATTCTTTCTTGTGACTGACTCCACGATGGCGCTGCTAAGTTGACCCAATGACTCCGCGAGGGCAGCTATTCGATTGGGGCCCGAAAGCGAGATTCGCGTCCACACCAGGCCTAATTCCCGAATGTTTCCATGATCACCCGCTTCCGTCGACCCCGTCGTCGTACCGTCGCCGGGAGGTGGACAGCCAGCCTCGCGGTTGACGCAGCGTAATCCGCAGTCCGCAGTCCATTCCGCAGCGCAGAGTATTGTCCAGGTTGTTTGTTCGGTACTGCAGCAGCGACGGGACGGGGGACGACGGAGGCTGACGAGTTGAGGACGACGATAATCTTAGAATCGGGTGAGTGGCAGCTGTTTCACCGAAATGATTTTATTTCAGGGGCCGCAAAGGAAGAGACGTCAGTGTGATTTCTTTCTTCTTTGCTGAGAGTGCGACGTATTGACCGGGGATGTCAAACAAGATTGTTGGGAACAGGGGGTCTGGGTCAATTGGGTGTCGGTGGTCAGCCCTGTAGACCAGACCAGACCAGACCAGACCGGCCATCATCATCAGCACGCGACAGCCATCCTGTGTGTCGTGTGGGCGTAATTTAGGTTCACTGCAAACTCCGATGGCCGATGGTGACCGATGGATGGACTGGGGCCGGGGGTGGACTTTGCGGGTTTGGCGACGGACGAGACGAAGCTGGTCGGCCTGTTAGATTCTGCGACGGTTAGTGAAAGAAAAGACAGACAAAAGACGAACCCATCGATGCGGGTAAAACAAGTGCAAACAAGCAAAAAGCGCAATTTCAACGTCGTCTGCTAGGAAGCATCTGCAGCTTCTAGATCAACTGATGCGCTCCACAACGGAGATGGTCCGTAGCGTAAAAGGTTGTGCGCGACAATACAACAACACGCGATACGCCGTGGGATATTGGTCGGGAGAGAGACAGTGAGGAAAATAAAAAAAATCTCTGGGAAAAAATGGATCATGACTCCGTCCCGGCGTCACCAAGATTCCTTTGACCGGGGCGGACTCGTCGGTCCTGGCCGTGGCTTCCTGCAAAGTCGCATCATCACGTAAGGCGGGTTGGGTTGGGCAGGCCGTAGACGGTAGACCAGAGGAATGGACACTGAAGGGGAGGGACGGGGTGGATACGCGCCTTCCGATCAGTGCATTGAGCATCCCTGCCCTCTGGCTGCTGTTTCTTTCCAATGAGCCCGTGCGTCCGTGATTCACTAAGCAAGTACCTGCTAGCCCCGCCTTTTGGATCAAGAACCTGTCCAAGTACCTGTACCCGACCCGCAGCATCCGAGCGTCCTGGGCCTGCCTCTCTGACCTCAATGTGAGTGTCGTGTGCGACTTTTCGCCTTTTCGCAGGTGAGGTGCAGGTCGTTGCAGGCACCTCCGGCCCCCAAAAGTCACAAGCTGTCGCTGTCAGACACGGACAAAAGACACACGAGACTCCATGCTGCAGCCACTCAGTCAGTCATGATGCCGTCCGTCTCTGACTGAAGTCTCGAAAGATCGCCGGTGAGATCCAGCAAGCCGGCGCGCTTTATTGGGGGAAACAACGCAGCAAGCAACGTACGTACACCTTGTTGCAGCGTTCCTGAATATGGTAAACGAGACGAGGGCGAGGGCGAGGCGCGACAAGGCGCGGTGAACTTGGCATCTGCCTTGCCATCCTTCGCAGCAGCAGAAAGCCTCACAAAGACGAGAATCATAGGCTGCTGAGCGCTGGCCGTTGGAGACGGATCGTGGAGCATGCACTGCAAGCCGCACCGCTCCGCTGAGGGGGCCACAGCAGAAAGAGACGGACAGTGAACACACTCAGCAGAGAGAGAAAAAGGACGGGTACGACCCAAGGTTTGACGCCATGTACCCGCCAAGAAAGGCAGGTTCAGGGTCCCCCCGAATGAATCAACTCAGCATCATAGCTCCATCTTCATTCGATTCCGACACCCAATCCCGCCAGCGTCCCGCCAGTCCCAGCGCTCCCACGCGCCGTAGCGGACCACCCCCCCTGCCCGGCTCTGGGTTTGGTCAGCTGCGTAGGGGAAGAGCACCAGTGACCTCCCACAAAAGGTACATTCGACATGCGCGCGCAAAGTACCTGTCCACCCCTGTCACACCCAAAAGCTCTCGGCCTCTGACAAGCACCCCGGTCCCCGCCGCTTCCGTAGGCCGGCTTGGTCTGTCTTGGTCACCTCTCCGCCGTCTCTTGGTGTCTTGGTACCTCGACGCAACTCTGGACGCCCAACTCTCTCAACACCCACACCCCCGGGGAGTAGAGTACGCTGCTCGGCCGGCCTCCTTGACCCTGCCCTGTCCTCCAAGTCCCCCAAGTCTCGTCTGCTCTATTCCGTCCTTTGCCTTGCACTTAACCTACTTTGCCTTACCCTGCCGCCGTGCCCGTCCCTTCCGCTGCCTCATCGTACATATGAATTCAGTCATCCACACTCACAGTAACTTTGTCGCCTGTCTCATTCTCTTTTGACCTCTTCCTCCCCTCCCTCTCTGAATCCTCTCGCCTGCCTTCCTCTGCCCGTCCGTTGGTTCAACAGCTCCCTCCCTTCGGCGGACATTCTTCACTACGAATAGAGGATTAGGAATTTGGGAAATACGTACACGTCGATATCTGTTGGGTTGGGACATGACGTAGCGGGAAACCACACAGGAACCATCGCCCACTAAGAAAAAAACAGTACTGGATGTTTGGGTTTTAGTCGGACAACCACGAACAGACACCTGGGAGACAGACCTCTTCACCTCTTGGGTCCCCAGTCACCTACTTCCTCCCGCCACACCGTCTTCGCCTTCTCACTTCTTCCCGACATCCTTCGACCTGAGCAACCAGCATGCGCGACTTCGCCAGCTTCCTCCAAGGGAAGCCCACTCTTCCGTCCCTGTGGACCGGCAACATCAACTTCGCAAAACTCAACCCCATACCGCACCGATACCGATCCAACCGAGCAAAGAGGAATCAGAAGAAGCGCGCCAGCGGCCCCGAAGATGTCGTATCTCTGCAAAAGTCCCTCAACCCTCTCGAGACCCTGTCAAAGTTGAGGAATCACAAGTGGAGACTGCTCGACTTGCAGTACATCATCCTCGTCGCCCTCATCGTCTTCTCCCTCTGTATCACGCCCTCAGCGCCCTTGATTAAGACCGCTGCCGTCGCTGGTGGTCTCCTTCTCCTCACCGTTCCTCTCACCAGCCAGTTCTTCTTTCCTGGATTGAGCATATGGGCCTACCTCATTTATTTCTTTTGTAGCCGGTAAGTTACTTGAAGCATTTGTCGAGGGTGAAGCTAATTGGAATAGCTTCATTGATGCGAAATACCGTCCCCACATCTGGGTGCGCGTCCTTCCCGCCCTCGAGAACGTCCTCTATGGCGCGAACCTGTCCAACATCCTGTCCGCCCACACCCACCCCGTTCTCGATATCCTCGCGTGGATTCCGTACGGCCTGGGCCACTTCGGTGCCCCCTTCGTCTGCGCCGCCTTCCTCTTCTTCTTCGCCGCCCCCAAGACCCTCCCGGTCTTCGCCAAGTGCTTCGGCTGGCTGAACGTCCTTGGCGTTACAATCCAGCTCGTCTTCCCCTGCACTCCTCCGTGGTACGAGAACGAGCACGGCCTGGCTCCCGCTGCGTATGGCATGTCTGGCTCCCCCGCCGGTCTGGCCAGGATTGACGCCATTCTGGGCATCGACATGTACACGACGAGCTTCAGCACCGCCCCCGTGCCCTTCGGCGCCTTCCCCTCCCTGCACGCCGCTGACGCCGTTATCGAGGCGCTCTTCCTGAGCTACTGCTTCCCCCGCTTCCGCCCTCTCTTTTGCCTGTACGTCGGCTGGATCTGGTGGGCAACCATGTACCTCAACCACCACTACGCCGTCGACCTGGTTGGCGGATCCCTCCTCTCCGCCGGCATCTTTTACTACGCCAAGTCCCGGTTCCTGCCTCAGCAGCAGGCCGACAAGAAGAACCGCTGGGAATACGACTACGTCGAGATTGGCGAGCAAACCAAGATTTGGGACGAGGAATATGGCCGCATGTACAACATGGGGTACCTCCAACGCCGTACCAGCTCCGATAGCGACGAGTGGACCGTTGGTAGCACCTCGAGTTACAGCTCTTCAAGTCGGGGCAGCGGCAGCCTGAGCCCCGCACTTTCCGAAGAATCCGGCCGCAGCATTTTCAGCATCGAGATCAAGCCCAACGCAGACCGATACGAGATTCCTCAGCTGAAGGAAATCGCTGTCAGGTAGCGCAGGACTCGATCAACTCTTTTTTACACTTTTCTTTTCTATTCTCATCAGCACTTTTACGATTCAAAACGGATACCACTTTGAATTACCTGTACCATTTGCATCAGCAGCACAGCAACGGCGCAATCGTGGTATTTTGTAAATGACAGAACAGCCGGAGACCAAAAAGCATCTCGACAGGCTTGGATAGGGTAACGGCCGCATCATCACGACCAGCAGAAGAAGACCCAAGGAGTCGATTTGGGGCGCACACGGAATGGGGAAACTGGGAGAGATAGACCCCCGTACATATAATGTGTTCAATGTTGAGATGGTCTCTCGCGAGGGAGGTTCCATCAGGAGTTCGGCCAGTTGGGAGCCGGACCCGAAGTAATGCGGATGGAGGAAAGACAAGAGGAGAGCATACCACCTGTAGAGGTATCTGAGCAGTCGCTACTGAAGTAGTTGATGATGACGAAGACATCAAAAGTAATACGAGACAAATTCTCGAAACACAAGTTCCCATATCGAGTGATATTGAACAAAGTGCCGTCGATCCGGCACATTTCCCCAGGTAATCCCTCCCAGTGGCTTGATGCGGGTGATCCATAGTCCCGCACAGCCACGCCACATCGACGCCCATCGCACACAGACGCTTTCCCGCCGTCAGAGGACGAACAGCCGTAAAAGCAAGAGCCGCACTAGAGGTGATGACAAAATCCCGACCGTGTGGCTTGGACCCCCGCGCCGACAGGGATGTCTTGGCATGGTTCTCGGCGGCGCGGGGCCGGGGCGGAACATGGGTCTTTTCATGTCTAATTTCCAACGACCGCGGTGCCGCGTGCCGATGATGGATACGGTGGGAGATGAGGCGGTGAGTGTACGGCAGGCTGAGGTAAGGTTAAGGCCAGCTGGGGGTGCTTGCTTGACTTGATCGGGGAGGGGGAAAGAGAGAAGAGGGAAATTTGGCTGTTGGTTTGCGTTGCTGTTGGTGCGGATATACGGCATTTGATGCTTTGGTTTTTGTGCATCTGGATGCGGGTATAATTGTGTCATATCGAGAAGGGTGAGCAATGAGGTAGAAAGACAAGAAAGAGACGAACCGAGCATGTTGAAGAGATCATCGTTCTCGTTCTCGTCGTCGCTCTCGGTAGGTTCCTGTGTCAGTTCGTCTGGCGTCATTTGTGCCCGTGGTGTTCTTTGGTCATCAAGGTCATCTACGGATGCCTCCCTCAACCAGAAATTTCGCTACGAGTGTTTATGTCGTCATTTCAAGCATCTCCAGTGGACTACCTTCGCCGTAGTCGTATCCCTGCAAATGTTTGCTGCTCACCATCACCCATAAAATCACCAATCCACAATTAAATCATTGGTCATTCATTGACTGTGAAGCCACCGAGCTAACAAAAAGCTCTTCTCGAGCGTTACCTCCTTCCTTCATCTGCTGCTTTTCCGAAACCTAAAACGCCCCAAAGCAAGAAAAAAAGAGGTATATACTCTGACAACTGTATAAGCAAGTCGCAGGATATTCATGTCTGAATACCCAGAAAGCAAGTGAGAGGCCGATATGAGCAGATAGGGCCATGCCATTTCCACCGAAAACCCAGAAAGATACCCAGGAAATGCCGGACAAAAGAGGATGCTGACTGACGCTGCTGAAATATCCGATGTGCATTATTCACAGGAGAAAACGACCAGAGTGGGACTTGGACCGGGAACGCTGTCCGGGCTTGGGTGCCTTCTAGTACTTGGGCGCGGGAACGGGCGTCTCCTTCTTGTCCGACTTGGACTTGCGCTTGGTCTTCTCCTTGGGCGTCTCCGCGGCGGCAGGCGAAGCCATCTTCACGCCTGGCATGGGAATGGGCACAATCGACTGGCGCTTGGGGGGCTGAATAGGGGTCTCCTTGGTCTTCTTCGAGCTCTTGGACTTGGTCGACTGAGGAGTCGAGGTGGGAGTCGGGCTGCCGAGGCTGGAGAAGGAGAAGCCGGCCTTGGGAATGGTGGGAGGCAGAATGGCAGTCTCTGTCTTTGCCTTTTTAGCCTTCTTCTCGGCGGACAAGGTCTCCTGCTCCAGCTGAGCGGAAGCAGAATCCTGGTCGTCCTCGGAGGAGTGCTTGCGCTTCGACGACTTGGGGGTGGCCGCGGCCTTCTTCGGCTCAGGCTTGGGGTTGGAGCCAACACTCGAGATCGACTCGATGCTATCGCGTCGCTTCTTGCTGCTCTTCTTCTCCTTCTTGGAGGTAAGGGGCTGAGAGTTGGGCACCTCGATGATGGTGAACTGAGAGTTTTGGGCGGGTTCGCTGGCCGTCTTGGACTTCTTCTCCTTCTTGGAGGACTTCTTGGCCTTGGGAGTGGGCTCGTCAATGTCCATGGCGTCTTGCGACTTGGCAGCCTGCTTGGACTTCTTGGAGCTGGACACTGCGGGGGCCGCGGTCATCTCGACGTCGCTCTCGTCGGATGAGGCATCCACTCCGATGTTACCCATGGGGGTATTGTCAGTGACACCGATGGGACGGAATCGTGCGGTCAGGTTCGGGGGTTGGGGGCGGACGGCGCTCGGCTCGATAGCGCGCGTGTTCACACGGGGGTCGCCGCCGGGCAGCTGCGTGACGCGCTTGAAGTGGAGGACGTTGTCAACCTTGTGAGGAGCTGCATGTTGTTAGTGAAGTTCGACGGAGCTGAGTAGTCCTAACGTACCTGGTTCATAGCGGGCTCCCTTCTTGTTGGGAATGATCAGCTGGATCGACGTGCTTCCATCATCCTGATCGACAGTATAGTCCTCCGAGTTGTGCTTGAAGATTGGCTGCCCCTTCTTGACCTTATCCATAGGGATCTCAAGCTTCTCGATGACGTTGATTGGGACCGAAGCAGGAGCGGTAAAGTACCAGAGCTGCTTGCCATCGACCCTGGCCTTGGCGAAGAAGTCGACCATGTCCTTTCCGTCCTCATCGCCCTGAGCCTTTCTGAGGATGAAGTCCTTTCCAACGAAGCCAGGGACACTGAGCTCCTTGCCAGTGCGTTGAGTAACAACCGCAGCAGGCTCCTCTACCTCATCGTCGGAGTCGGAGTCAGAGCTGCCGTCCTTATCGGAGCTGGATTCCTCTTCACTGCTGGACTCCTTGTCGCTAGACTCCTCTTCGCTCGAGCTTTCGCTGGAGCTGGTGGAAGCGGCCTTGGTCGACTTGGTGCCATTGACAGCAGGCTTTGCTGCAGGCTTTGTTGCTGGCTTGGCCGCGGGCTTGCTCGTCTCCTCGGCTTCGCTCTCAGACTCGCTCTCCGACTCGGAGGAGCTGCTGCTGGCGGCCTTCTCAACCGCCTTTGCCTTCTCGGTCACCTTCTGGGCCGGCTTCTTGTTGGACTCGCTATCGCTGTCGCTGGAGTCGGAGTCTGAGTCGGACTGCTCCTCGGCTTCGGCAGAGGAAGACTCGTCTTCAGAGGAGCTCTCGGGTCTCGTAGGCTTCTTCTTGGTAGCATTGGCCTTCGCGGACGAGGCGGTGCGCTCGACGTCGCTATCGGCAACCTCATCGTCCTTGCCACGCTTGGCCTTCTTCAAGGGAGTGTCGGCAGACTTCTTGGGAGACACATGGCCATTGATGCTAGCCAGAAAGCCTGGGGATGGCTCGTCATCGCTATCGCTGTCGGCGCTGGACGATTCGGAGTCAGAGTCGTCTGCACGAGGGTCGAACTTCTTGTCGGCCTTGGGCTTGGCGGTCTTGGTGAACTTGCCCTTGGTCTGGGCGGGTTCCTTGCTGCCTGCCTCGAGCAGCGCGTTCAGCGAGTGAACTCCGTCGAGCTTGCGCGGTGCCATTGTGCCAGGGCTGGGTTCGAAAATCGGACGCGGGGCGAACGTGACCTTTTTCGAGGGCGTGATGGGAGACCTGAACTTGAGCGCGACAGGAATTTTTTGAGAGGCTTCAGAAATTCTGGTAGGGGTGGCACGGGCCAGCGGGGCGTTGGCAGTGGCAGGGCGATGCGCCTGCGCCTGAGTGGTGGGCGCGCCGGATCCACTGCCGAACGCCTTTGGGGAGCGCGAGAAGCTGGGCGGCGCTGGAGAGAAGGCGCGCAAAAAGGATTTTCCATCATCATCGACAATCTCCTGCTTGATCTCCTGCTTGCTGGGCGTGGGATCTCTGCGCTGCGAACCTCCACTGCGGTGTCCATCCGATTTTCTACCCATCGTTGCGATTGAGAGCGTGGCTTGTGCTGGTTGTGTTGTGTTGGGGTTTGGTGGTGGGCAAGAGCAAAAAATCTGAGTGAGTTGCGACGGGAAGGTTGAGATCGAAGTATGTTGAAGAGAAAAGAAAGCTGACCTTTTGTCGGCGAAAGTAGATTGCTAAAACAAAGCTGGGCTGCAGCAGCTGTCCTTCACCCGACGGGCTCTTGCCTTTTAATTCAGGTGATTGCCTTTACCGGTGAAAGACAGCTGGGTTGGGACTAAGCGACTCAAGACCCAAACAAGGCCCCCTCAACGTTCTACTCGTAGACAAGAGAGTCATCACAGTGGTTTACTGAAATTGGTGTTCTTGGTGATTTCTTAGTTGAACCATTTGAAGCCATCATGGCCACCCCAAAGAGACGCAAGCTTGAGACCTCTGAAGGGTCTAGACGTGAGTATTGCCAAGCAGCACCATAAAACCCTTTCGACGCCATCTCCCGCTGACGTTCATCAAAGCAATGAGCGCTTTTGCTCTGAGGCAGCAACTTCTTGCGGCCAGCCCATCTTTGTCGCCAGCTCCGCAGTCCGAGCCGGCTCCTGAGTCCCAGGCATCCACTCCCACCCCTGGGCGATCTCCGGCCAGAACGAGGCCACCCAAGAGGACGGGGAACGCCGAAAGAGCAGAGGAGCCTTTGCAACAGCAGGTTGCAGTGTCTGGCAGCCCGAAAGGTCAAGCTGGCGATGGTTCGAGGTATGTAGATGATTCCGCAAATCCAAACCTGCTCGCTGACATTCCTAGCGGCGTGGACGCTGAGGCACCTGCAAAGCCAATACCTCAGCAATTTTCGACGTTTAGGCCAAACAAAAGTAACTCGCGTAAACACGCTGGGGGAATCCTAGAATTGAATTTGAAAGATAGCGAGGCAAGTTCCCCCTTTCCAGACGCATCGCGCCATTACTAACTTTGCCAGCGCTTCTTGGTTCTAGGAAGCTACGGAATCAAGGTCATTAGCGGCGAAGTCACAGTTGCTGGAGCTACCATACGGCCGACAGACGGAATTCAATGGGTTCACGCACCTCATTGCCACGGCATACCGGTGGTTCGCTGCTCCGATGAGACGACCCTAGAGCTCCATCCGCACCCGCAGGCTGCCAGCCTCCGCAAGCTCGAACGACTTTCACCACTTTTCAGAAGTCTTTGGAACGAACCAGAAGAAACCAAGTCGAGCAAGAAACGGGCTGCCGTGGACACATACAAGATTGTCAGTTTGGTACGCTAGACTCCTACGCAGCAATGCTAACATGATTAGATCTGCACTGCCGATGACGCCCCTAAACGGGCCCTGATCCAAGACCTGCGCTCTCTTCCTGCATGGAATAAGAAACTGGCGGGTCTCGCAAAGATCAAACAAGATCCGGCTCTAAGCGTTATGCTTTGTGGTCCGAAATCATCTGGGAAATCGACGTTTGGCCGGATACTTAGCAACCGCCTTTTGACCACTCCCGGACAGCGACGCGTCGCTCGTTCGGTGGCCATCCTCGACCTGGATCCTGGACAGCCAGAGTACACTCCTGCAGGCACAATAGCCTTGGTTCAGGTCAGAGAGCCCAACTTGGGCCCTTCATTCACACACGTTGCAACAGATGAGCAAGCTGTATCAATTATTAGATGTCACTCCATTGCGTCCGTCTCTCCAGCATCAGACCCAGAGTTGTATCTGGAATGCGCCCTGGATCTATACTCTCACTACCAAAGCACTTGTCAAAGCTTGCCCTTGATCATTAACACACCTGGCTGGGTTCTGGGAACGGGTCTCGACCTCTTGACCGAACTTGCTTCCAGCTTCAAACCGACCGAAGTCATTTACATGTCGGAAGACGGTCCTAGAGAGAGCGTCGAGGGCCTTCGGGCGGTTTGTAAAGCAACTTTGAGCACACTTCCCTCTCAGCAGTCAGAGTTTACTTCCAGAACAGCAGCCCACTTGCGGGCGATGCAGGCTTTGGCCTACTTCCATACGAGAAGGTCGGCGCCGAACCAGATATCGTGGGACCCAACACCACTAACAACATCACCGCCCTTGTTGGTCCACTATAAGGGGAGAAATCGCGGGATACTTGGTGTTATCAGTTACGAATATCAGCCGCCCCCCGAGCTGCTGACGGAAACCATTAATGGATCCATAATGTGTCTGGTCGAGACCGTAAACCCCAAGGCATTCGGCCGTCTGAGAGGGAGCATCAAGGGCGAGGAAATGGACGTAGATGACGCAGAGTCATCTGCAAAGTTGGAAGAGTTGGTATCAAGAACCACGGAAGGTGTTCCATACATCCCAAATTCCGATGCCCAGACCTTGGACCCTCGGTACTCGCAAACTCTGGGTCTTGTTCTACTCCGAGGCATCGACACAAAAGCGGGTGCCCTACAGATGCTGACGCCAATTCCGTTGGAGCGTATCATGGCCGCCAAAGAAGCTGGTCATCAACTAGTGCTGATCCACGGAAAGCTCGACTCGCCTGGTTGGGCTTACACGGAAGACTTGTACTATCAGTCGTTTGGCAGCAATGATGCCGACAAGGACGATACTGTAGAGGTTATGGACGAGGACACGGAGAGTGATGATTCAGATAAGGAGCCCGAGAACCCTCACTTGGCTGGTGATGTCAACGGCATTCCGTGGATCGAAGTGCTCCAGGGTCACGAAAAACGCCCTGTTGGATCACGAGTCTGGAGAGTGCGGCGCGATCTCGGCCGCGGTGCAGATTAACGATAGACGCAACCATTAAAATCCTTGGGGTTTCTTTCCGAAGACCAACATGATTATCCCCGCGTTGGCATTCAGTCGCCGTCCCCGTCCATGGTGCCCTCACTGTTGTTGCACTTCCCGAACTCTTTGCTCCTAGTGGCCACCGCCACCTACCATCCATCCTATTTGGCAGACCGTCACAGCTTTCCGGAATTATACATAAATCCGCCGGCCCTTTAGCGAGGGAAAACCACATATCCCCGCTCAGCGGGCCGATCCGAAGGATGACTGAGGACGAAGGCGGCGTCCTGGATACTCGCAGGACGGTAGTGTAATCAATCCTTAGATGCCGCTATGTAAGCGGCCAAGTCATACGCCAATGCCATCCAGACCGGCGAACTGCATACCCTGCCATGCCTTCTGCCATGCGTCCTGCCATGCGTCCTGCCATTTAGGGTCTCGTTATTACACATCGACGCTAGTCCCTGCATCAATTTACCTTCAGCAAACCCCACATCATATGACGTCCGTGGTCGTCAAAGTAGGAAATTTCCCCAATTCTGCCCCTCCACTTCGGCCCCTCTTCCCTTTGTCATGCTTTCTCATCGCTTATTTCCCCAAACTCTACCCCAACAAACGGCAGTTTGCTGCGGCCCGCCACGCCGACGACACATGCTTTCGTGGGAGCTAAGACTCCCCGTTTTCCAGCATGGCTCAAAACAGCCCAAGTGACGAGCTGTGTCTCTTTGTTCAAACTCAACTTGGACTGTCTTTGTCCAGGTGCCTGACTACACTGCATTGTTTCTGCCTGCTTGATGTTCCAGCTGCCCCTGATCCAACATGACGGAGCTGCCAGAGTCTGAGGTTGATGTTCTCATCATCGGCGCTGGCCCTGCAGGGCTGATGTTGGCGCTGTGGTTGGCGAGGCTGGGCGTCAAGGCGCGCATCGTGGACAAGCGGACGGCCAAGATCTACTCTGGCCAGGCAGATGGGTACGATGTCTTTGATGCGCATGATATAGCTTGGGTCTAACTGATGTGGTAGCTTTCAAGTGAGGTCTCTCGAGATCTTGGATAGCTTCGGCGTTGCAGAGCGCGTGTGGAAAGAAGCGAACCGCATGCTAGGCGGGTCACTTATACAAATGTTCCGATACATACGCTGATATCCTGCAGAGGTCTGCTTCTGGAATAATGACGAAAACGGTAGAATCTGCCGCGGCGCCCAAGCAGTCAACACCATTCCGGGGCTCTCCCGCTTCACCGAGTCTGTTCTTCACCAGGGTCGCATAGAGCAGTTCTTCCTAGATGGGATTCGAGAGTCGTACGCTTCAGACGAGGAAGCGCTGCGCGTAGAGCGCATGGTCATTCCCACATCGCTCGAGATTGACGAGAGCAAGGCCGAAGACCCGGATGCGCATCCTGTGACCGTTACGTTACGGCACTTGACGGAGGAGGAGGCGACGCCAACGCAGATGCTGAGCAACCTCAGCGATGGCATTTTCAGGAGCAACCTTGCGGACGACGATGTGGGCGATATTTTGGCCAAGTCAAAGAGTCGCGAGGCAAGGGATGAGATTGTAAGGGCAAAGTATGTTGTTGGCTGCGATGGTGCCCACTCGTGGACGAGGAAGACTCTAGGAAAAGACTTTGAGATGAAGGGTGAGACGACGGATGCCATTTGGTGAGTAGGTTGCCTTGTGGGTGAGGTTCGAAGCTGACTGGTTGCAGGGGCGTCATGGACATTGTACCCATCACCAACTTTCGTACATTTGACCCGAGTAGAGTTGAGATGTATTTAGCTAACACTATACAGCTGATATCAGATTCCGAACAATGATCCACAGCACCTCCGGCGCTCTCATGATTATTCCCCGCGAGAACCGGATGGTCCGACTCTACATTCAGCTGAAGGAGGTCTCTGCAGGTGGTGGTCGGGTCGACAGGTCTCAGATTACTCCCGATTTTATCTTCAAGTCTGCTCAGAAGATCTTCAGCCCGTACAAGTTAGAGTACCACTACTGCGATTGGTAATTTCTTGCAGTCCTCAATGTAGATGAAGTGCTGACTGTCACCAGGTGGACGGCCTACCAGATCGGCCAAAGAACCGGTGACCACTTTAGCAAGCTCAACCGCGTTTTCCTCGCTGGAGGTCAGTCGACCCATTCTCGCTATCATGAGACGCCCGCTAACAAGATCAGACGCCGTTCACACTCACTCTCCGAAGGCTGGCCAGGGTATGAACATTTCCATGCAAGACAGCTACAATCTCGGCTGGAAGATTGGTCTCGTATGCAAGAACATCATCCCCCGTGAGATCCTGTCGTCGTATGAGCTAGAGCGCAAGAAGATCGCAAAGGACCTTATTGCCTTTGACGGCAAGTTTTCAAAGCTTTTTACTGGTCGACCGGCGAAGGACATTATGGATGAGACGGGTGTTTCATCAGAGGAGTTCCAGAAGGCTTTCCACACTAGCAGGATGGTATGTTACCTCTCTGATATTTGTGGTTCAAGCTCAACGTTTTAGTTCACCACTGGCGTCGGCGTCAACTATCAACCGACCGTCCTCGTTGCGAAGAGTCCCGAAGAAGATCCCGAAGGCGACAACGATCTCAAGAAGAGCACCGCCAAGAGCACACAATCCCTTGCCACAAACTGCAAACTAGGTCAACGGTTCCCCTCATACAAAGTCATCCGTCAGTCAGATGCACGCCTCTGGGAACTCCACCACAAACTTCCCTCGAACGGCCGATTTCGCCTCGTCGTCTTTGGCGGCGACATCTCTCAACAGGCCCAGCGCGACAGGGTCAACGCGCTCGGTGCCTGGCTGACAACCTACCTCACGAAGTTGCCCACCATCAAGCTCACGCCTGGCTCAGACCCTCACAGCGGATCTATGAAGTTCAAGACGGACGAAGATCCTTCCATCGTGGATGTCTTGCTGGTGCATACCGCGCCGCGGGATCAAGTTGAGCTGTTGAAGGACATGCATGAGATGTACCATCCATTCGACAGCAAGCTTGGCTGGGACTATGACAAGGTTTACGTCGACGGCAAGACGTTTTATGAGGAGCCGCAGCGAGCGTATGAGAAGTACGGTATCGACGAGACGAAGGGTGCGGTGGTTGGTCTCCGGCCTGATGGATATGTCGGACTCGTTGTCTCGGTTGGACATGACGGCCAACAAGAGATTCAGAACTGGCTCGATGGTATCTTCCAGCGTAGCTAAGAAGCGGATATCGTAATGAAGCTACATCAACTCTGTGTCATGTTTTAGCGCAGGTTCTCTCAGTATTGATGATACCTCAATGGCCGCGGTCTTCAGCTTCCGATCCTCTAGTGCAGGTAATCTGAGAGGCGCCTGTTTGATGTGATAGAACTGTTTGGCCTCCTCCTCGGTGAGAAAGCCCAGTTGGCGAGTTATCTTGAACAGTAACGACTGTCCCCAGTCCGAATCTGTTGACGCCCAAACCTTCCGAGCCGCGCTCTGCATGAACCGTCGATCGAGAGTTGTTGTACTCGGAGTCGCCTGGAGTACCTGGCGCCGAAGGATCGTCATCGCGTACGTGAAGTTCAGGTACTTGTTACTTGGCGGTTGTTGTTGAGAAAAGTAAGTCTGCGATTATGCAGCTGGTGGGTCGATATGTCATATCTGTACCCATAGAATTCCTTCTCCAGCTCGAAGTCCAGGACGACTACCTTGAGTCCACGCTCCCTGCGCCCGTTGTCATTGACGAAATCGTCTGACACGATGAGGAATCGCCCGGCGCGCCAGGCCTTCTCCAAGTCGCGGTGCATCAACAGTCCGTTAAGTGGGCTATCGAGATGGCCGCCGCCGCCACCACCATGCTCCCCCGTGTCCTTGCCAAAGAGACTACGTGCAGTTGACTCACCCAGGTTGTAATTGGCAACGTGGGCGGCGACGACGCCCCATTGAACTCCCGAGATTGAGCACCTAGGACCATCTTTCTCTTTCCCTCCGCACGGATCGTATCTCTCAATCACCCGCTGCCTGAATTTCTGCTGCTCCGCGTTGTCCTCCCTCGTATCGGGCCCCGCCGTGAATCTATGTGTGCGTGTCACTTGGTCAACAAGCCGGTTAATTTGTGCCCTGTCGTTGTCTCGGAGATCCCCCGCGCACTCATCGACGTCCTGGAAGATCCCAATGAGTTGGTTCTTGCCGAACAAGACCAAGGAAAGCTCTTCCTCGCAATTGTAGATATCTTCCTCGAGTCGTTTGAACTGTTCCTGAAAATGGCGGTCTGATAGGCCCGATGTGCCCTCGAGATGGGAAGCTGTGAGGTCCTTGAGCTGCTGTTGTACAGCCGTCATGGCCGCGGTCTTCCTGTCGACAACCCGGCCATATAGTTCGTTCAACCTTTTCCTGCTGGGGTCCCTAAGCCGGCTGTGTGCGTCGTCTCTCGGTGACATCTGACGGGTCTGAGAATTCGCCATGTTGATAGTGGGGTTCGATGATGGTGATGGAAGTCGCATGTTCGAGTAGGAGGAGTTTGAGAGGGCGAGGGAGCCGAGCATCTTATAAGCAACATGGCTCAGAAAAAAAGGGGGCCTTTGTGAAAATTCTGTATCTCCGGACCGGAAAATGAACTCTCTTCGTAATATTGGACGGCTATCAAGGTAAACCTCGAGGTAAATCCCGATGTAAACCTCAATAAAACCTCAAAGGTAACCCCACCGCACAACTTGACCACACGAAGACGAAGACGAAGACGACAGCGGAGATAGTCAAACTGAGAGAGACGGCCTCTGGGACGATAGTCATAACAGTGAGGAAAGTCATGGCCTTTAGTGATAAGAAACATGAGTGAAATTGCTTTGATTAACGTTGCCATGCGCGGACACCCGGGTCCATGTTCGGAAGTCGATATATGAGAAGGAGTTAAGGGTGGCGATGAACATGTTAGATGAGACTAAAAACACAAGTCTAGCTGTAAATCCAGATCCATCTTTTGCTGCGCTAGCCCATGCCCATTTCAAAAGATGGAAATCTACCAGTCTGGGAACCAGACAGTAAGGCCAAGTCGCCGTAATGGAAAAAAAGCCCAAGAGGTATGCAGAAGTACTCAAGCGAGCTTTGACAACGGTCGAAGCTAAACTTTGAACGACTGACTAAACCAGTCGTATCACGCACAAATAAAAAATGCACCCTTGTCGCCGGCCAATTGTCTCAAGAACATCAACGTCAACCGTATTTCCAACCTTGGTCTCATTCTCTTGCCAACGCTTTTTCTTTTGGCCCACGATTCATGTTTATCGTGTGCCTCCAGGTTGTCGGTTGTCTGGCTTTGGCATACAGAAGGCCAGACGAACGCCTTCTAAGGTCTGGATCAAGGAGGCCGCATGTCGACCCTTTCAGACTCGCAGCAACCGAAAAGGGAGTGTCTCGAGAGGCTACCTCCGGCTTCAGTCTTCTCAGACATCAACCAAAACCGTGAAGCCAGGCGATGGGCACTATCCGTGAACAACAAAGTAAGTGGCGAGAATGCTTGCAACACCTGTGCTTTTCCGAAACTCCGTGCAAAAACTCGACGAAACCCTCTCCGTGGAGACGGCCATCGATAAGAGAACCATCCCGTGTATATTTGTAACCGACTTCGCCTTGGAACAAAATGCAAACACGAGGAGCCAGTTGCAGGTAATCCGAGAGCTCGATAGCTGGGGCTATTGATGGGTGTCCTTGACGACCAAGCCTGCGAACTCGAAGGTGATGGTAGTGTCGGGGTCAATTACAGCCTTTTAGGCCGCTCTTGAGTCACGGTGGAGAGTTGATCTCCAATGGCTCGAACAGCTTCCGCTTCATGGGCGCTTGCTTGGCGAGGCTTCTCGTGAGCCTGACCGGCGCCAGCTCTTGAAAACAAGGCATCGACCTTAGCTATTGGTGCTCCTATGCCGATGCGGGACTTTTCATCACCAACAGGTCTATCACCGTCGTCTTTCAAGTAGCGTTGCAGATTTGTCTGCGCATTCGACGATCTTTCCGCCGCCGACACGACTTTGCCATCGTCCCCTCTGTGGGAGACGACGATTAGCGATGACGAACGATACCGAGCCGAGACAATACCATGGATGTGGAGGGAGGCGATGACAGGAGCAGGGAAAGGCGGAAAGACCATGGGCCCGATAGTGTTTGTGACTTACGGTGATGATACGGAGCCCTGGTTGCAGGCTGTTGAGTGCGCGTCGGTGTTCGGTTGATTGCCGGCCATCGTGACTGTGACCGGCTCAAAATGCCGCTAGCAGTGTCCGAGTCTCTTTGACGTCACGACAACAAGGCAAGTGATTGGCAAAGGCAATGAAGTCAAGTCGCTGTCGCTGTTTATGTCGTCTATTGGCGGTCGCCGTTGTCGGGTATCGGGTATCAAGGCTCAGGTTGGGATCGGGGAAAAGTAGCTATGCTACTTGGGTAATGGCTCTCGGATATGATTGCTCTGGTTCTGGGACGAAGCCTACGTTATTCCTCGCAGATTTGAACTTCGTTGATTTCGTCGAGCGAGCCTCTGTTGAAGATGGACAGAGAACTAGGGGGCTTGGGTTTGGGCTCGGGACGGAGTAGCTCGGTAAGCGGGCTAGGTAAGGCAGGACTTCTCGCACAATGGCTCCTGTGTGAGGGTGCTCTGGTTTGGGGAAGAAGTCGACGTTGTTGCTCGCAATTTTCAGCCTCGTTATGATTGTTGGCAGCGAGAGGAAAGTAGAGAGAGGATGAAGGCGAGGACTAAGGAGTCTGCGTGCGAGGAAGGAGTTGTAGTAAGGAAAATGACGCCAGAGTGGACTGAGCAGAGAGTGGGAGAGGAAGAAATGGGGTTAGAGGAGCGAGAAGGGGGCAGTGCCCAAGAGCGCGATCCCGCGAAGGCGCACGACTGGTAAGTCGGGTAAGCTGCCGTCGTAGAGTGTTGAAGGGCAATGTGAATCGCTGGCCGTCTTTGTGCGGGAAAAAACGTGCTAGGAGAGAATATATTGGGAAAAGTCACACGTGGGTGTGCTGATGAAGATTGGATGGCACCTTCCCCGCCAGCGAGTGGTAGGTCGAAGAATGAGGTGAAGTAAGGACTGTGGTAAGGACTGAGGTAAGGACGGACGCAGGTCGGAGGGGGGACGTGGACGCCCAGCCGTGTGGGAAAAGTGACACTGGAAAGATCCATGGGACGCAACAGCAGCTAGCGGGGCCACCACCACTCCCTACCTACGGTACCTGAGGTTCCCCCCCAGCAGGGGCAGCAGAGTGGGTAGATAACCCTCTTCAAATTGCACCACACGGGCAATGGTCCTTGCTCGCTTGCTGTTCCTCTAGCAGGTGTCTCCTCACGTACTTCCTTAGGGATCCGTACAACGTCTGGATCGTTCAGGCAAGAAGACATAAGGTACCTAAGGAAAGGTTCATTCAAGGGTGGTACCTTACTCAGACATGGCACTTGAATAGCACACTAGTGTAGCGTGCTGTGTAGGGAAAATTGAACGTTGGTACGCACCTCCACTAGTGGATAGGGGGACGGGAGAACCTCACCGTCTTGATGCTTTTGGACTAGGTCGCCGCCACCCTAAACGGCGCCAAACACGAGATGAACCTTCATCATGTCAGCTTGCCTTCTATCATCGTCAAGACCCCCAAGAGCTGTGGAGGGTCTCAAGAGTGAGGCGGTAAAAGATCGCTTACTTGACCGGTTGCAATGTGTGTGCTTTCCATTCAGGATCACGTGCGGCATTCTTCTCATCCTCGACCGGCCCGTCAGTGCAGCTTCCCGCCTGCTGCTTCCTACCTTTTGAATAGGGCAGTCTCTAGGTCATTGAGATGCCGTCGACGCTGGCTTTCGTCGTCAATCTGCCTTGGTGGTATTCTAGAGGACCCAAATGGTTTGGTTCGTGTATGGTTGAATTGCAGATGTCACACGAACTCAATCTTCATGGTCCGTTCGGCCATGAGGTCCTGCGTTGTTCCCCTCCCCACAGTGATGCCCTCGCGTTCACAGAGAAAAACGTTTGCACTGCCTCCTTCATGCATCTCAATACGTGAGCCAACTCTCATCTGCAGCCCCCAGTACCACATGCATTTTCGCCGACATTAGGTGGCTGGTTCCCGTCTTTTTGCGCTTGACACCCAGTCGAGGGCCCGTCAGAACCATGGTTCATACCTGAACGTCATCTTGCCACAAACCCATCCACGGACATACTCTGGCTGTGGGATATGAACGAACTCACTCACCAATCGAATGATTTGAAACGATAAGAATGCAATTGCGATGCAATTGGTAGCGGGCGAGGTCGTCAGTGATTCTTCTCTGCTGTTTCTCAAGCAGACCAGAACTGAGCGCATGCCAGCGCAAAAGCCTCTGCCTTGCGTTGAGGCTAAGGCATCCATTTCATTGCATCACATGCTACCTTCGCTGCAATAATGTTTCTCTTCGCCCGAGCCGGCTCTCGCTCAAAAAAAGGTTCTCAAAAAAAGGTTCGCAAAAAAGGTTCGCAAAGGCCGCACCCGGCTGCTTGGGCGGGCTGCCTGGACTACCTACGCCAAACATCAAGGTCAGAAAGTCAACAAGAAGCATCAGTGGCGGCGCGGAAGGCGTTTCAGACTCGCTGGTTCACCTTCTATGCTATCCGAAGCCATTATCAAAAGCTGCGATATTCGTCTGAATATCAGATTGACATATCGCACGTCGTCCGATCTGCCTACAACGAGACTAGGATCCTGTCTTGTCTGTGCGAGTCAACGTGGGAAAGCTATCTGAAATAGGCAATGCTTGTGTCACTAGTGCACATCATTGACAGGGATTCCTTCACAGCCCCCATGCGGGGGCCACTAGTGCCATCTCAACCATACCTTGTCTCCCGGCTTACACACTTACACATTCAGGTACACAAAAAAACGGCAAGACAGTACAAGGTAAGGTACATGCCCCGAAACCGTAACACATTTGATCCTGACAGCTGCCATACCTCTTTCCAGACACATGCTTGTTAGCCGGGCTGTTACATTGATGAGCGTTGCAGCCACGGGCGGGGCTAACTTAGCTCAACTACGGTCACCAACTTCAGAAATGTCACCTTACCCATAACAAGGAAGCCATGTAATCGGTTGTGCATTTAAGATAGAATCGGAGGGAAAGAGAGATAAAAGTTTGACAGGTGGGTTGAACTGCCACGATAGGATCTCTTTCCGACCCCTTCCCACGTACCGCCGGTTGGCATGAGTTTGAGTAGCCCATGGGGAGGACTGCGCCATTCGAGATTGGCGTTGAGTATCTACAACATGTCAAAAACTTCGACCACGTTCCAACACTTGCGCCAATAACGGCTGCGCATCCTACTATTCCTAGTGGGCGGAAGATATAGTGTGGCTTCCCAAGGCACAATCAACGGTTTTCATGGCCAAGTCTCGACCGGAACGCTAGAGCGTATAGTCTTGGCTGATTGTGGAGCGAAGCTATGACGCTTGGAGC